AATACACCAGCCCTTAGATAATTTCAATAGGCCCCTCTCATCCACATACACGCGTGCATGCGTTCTTATGCAATAGAGAAAACAGAGTGCTAGAAAAAAAATAAAGAAAATGATAATGTACAACAATACAATGTTTTCTTCTTCTTCTTTGTTTTTTTATTTTTCAAGAATCGATCGTGTTTATCATTGTATATATAATGTACACTTAATGTTCATCATTTTGCATTCAATACAAATTCAATTTTTCTCTTCATTTGACAACACTCTCTCTTTCACTTTTCTCCCGTTTCTATAATCCATAATCAAACATGGTATCAGTCACCGGCGATCTTTTGTTACTTTGATTTATTCTCAACCTCTGAAAACTCAATCAACCTTCGACATTTTTTTAGGGTTTTAAATATCCAAAACCAATCAAATTTTTTATTTGCGACTAGCTTTTCGATCTGCACTTTTCAATCTGCATCTATTCAAATCCATACATAACTGCACTTTTCGATGGTTGTTGTTAGGAATCCAACCGATGATCCATCCTCTCCCTACTACGTGCACGCTAGCGACAACACAAACGCACTTATAGTAGCTGAACCATTTGACGGTGAGAACTACGTTTCCTGGACGCGTGTCGTCCTCATGGCGCTGAGCGTGAAGAACGAATGTGGATTCATCAAAGGTACAATTTTGTCTCCCTCATCAACCGGTAGTCCTACATTGTATATTGCATGGGTTAGGGCAACAATCTAGTTTTGTCTTGGATCCTAAATCTTGTTTCCAAAGAAATATGACATCTTTATTGTTATTTACTTCGGTTAAAGATGTTTGAGATGAGATTAGAATTGGTATGAGATGAGTAGTGGTCTTAGGGTTTTACATATAGAAAAATCACTTAGCACAATGGACCATGGTTCACTTTCAATTACTCAGTATTACAATGCTTCTTAGGGTTTATAGGAAGTGTATGTCACTTATAGGCATATTTTTCGATGTCATTGTGGGGCTTTCAGTTTATGTAGTAATATATTTGAATCCAGGGTTGAGTCCCAAAATCAGGATTGTGTCATGAAATTTTGATTGGACTCGATGACTCATATGCATCTCTCAAAAGTCATTTTCTTCTCTCATCACCTCTGCACAACCTTACAAATGTCTATTTCCTACTACTTCAAGAAGAAACCCAAAGAATCTTACACAACACCAATCAAGTCAATGACTTTATTGCTATGCTAGCAAAAACAACCCCAACTACTTCAAATCACAGAAACCTTCTTATTCCAAAGACAAAAAGCCTATACCCAAATGTTCCCACTTTGGTTATCCACATCTCTCTGAAAAATGTTACCAAGTCAATTTGGATACCCACCTTACTGGACTGGCCCAATGGGCCCCAGGATTCACCCTCAATACACTCTAATCTCTTACACACAAACTATTTATGTTGCTAATACTGAAATTCATATTTCTTATGCATCTTCCATGAATAATGAGTTGTTTCGTGACTTTTTAGCCTTTAAAAAGTCTAATGAGGCAAAAACAATAGCAAAACCTAACCGAAATTTGGGCATCCTGCATTGATACTAGAAACAGTATTACAAGTTTTTCTATTTTCCTAGGCAAATCACTTATGTCTTGAATGTCTAAAAAGAAATCTACAATCAGTAGATCTTCTGCAGAACCTAAATATAGGGCAAATGCTTCTATTGCATGAGAAATCCAATGGCCATTATATATGTTTTATAATTCTAACATTCCACACGTGTCTGTAGATCTACTTTTGTCTGACAATAAATCATCTATTTCTATTGCTACTAACACTGTTTTCCTTGAACGTACAAAACATATACAAATTGATTGTCATTTGATCAAAGAAAAAAGTGGCTCAAGGCATTATCAAGTTGCAACATATCAACACAAAAAAACAACTCTCTCAATACAAGTTCATTTTTTCTTTTCCTTAACACAATTATCTCTCTCCTTCTCTTTCACTTTTGTCTCGATTCTGTTATCCATAATCCAACAGAATTTGTTTGTTTTTTGAAAGTTTAGATCTCTTATGAATAATTTGAGCATTATAATATATGTGAAGAAGTTGGTTAATTGGCATATATAGCTTGCTATATACGTTTGATTCCAAAGTTTATTTGAAAGCATGATCAATGGAATTAGAAGTTACGTTTGAGAAATATGTTACTTTCCTATTTGTTGCAAATTAGCCAAACTTGTTGTCACCAAGTCTTGTTTGAATAAGTCTGTTGCATTTTTCCATTTATCTAGGAAGTTAGTTCTTTTATCTTTCATTTCATCTAGGGAGTTGGAAGTAGTGGTTTGTTAAGTTAGGAAAATAATCTCAGAAGTAAGAGAGTTAGTTGAGTTTTTTTAGGCCCTTCTTCAGTTTTAAAGCCTTGTAATCTCTTGCTTTCAGTATTGATTTTTCCAGCAGAAAACACATTGGTTTTTAACCAAAAGTTGTCATTGTCTTCTGTTTGCATATAAGCCATTCCCTATATTTTTGTTACATGGTACCAGAGCCTGGTTACCTACCAGGTGTTTGATTATTTTACTATACTTTGAGGTGTTTTGGTGCCATTTGTAATGATGAATGGTGGAGGAAGTGTTGTTGTAGACAAGATTTGTGGGATCTTAACACTGGTGAGGAGAATGTAATTCCAGAAGATATACCACAAAATGCTGAGTTGAGAAGAAAATGGAAGATCAAATGTGGCAAAGCTTTATTTGCTTTGCGGACGTCAATAAGCAAGGAGTACATCGAGCATGTGCATGATGTCAAGACACCAAAAGAAGTGTGAGAGACACTTGAAAGATTGTTCACTTAGAAGAATACTATGAGGCTTCAATATTTGGAGAATGAGCTTGCTGGGATGACTCAAGGTGATTTATCCATTCCTGAATATTTTTTGAAGTTTAAAACCTTATGTGCTGAAATTTCCGAATTGGATACGGAGGGACCTGTGAGTGATGCTCTTTTGCGTCGTTATCTTATTCGAGGACTACGAAAGGAGTTCATGCCTTTTTATCTCTTCAATATAAGGGTGGGTAAATCAACCCTCTATTATCGAATTGGAGAATTTACTCTCAAATCAAGAAGCGTTGGTGAAACAGATGGTTGGTGCTATCAAGCAGTCTCCCTCTCCTTCCCAATTAGAGGATGCACTTTATGTGAAAGACAAAGGAAGTGACAAGTTTGTCTCCAAAAATTCTTCAAGTGGTGCTAGGCATTCTAAAACAGAAGGTGGGGCGAAGAATTTCACAATAGAATGTTATAGATGTGGAAAGCCAGGACACATGAAATGCAACTGCCACGTGAAATTGACATGTGAACGTTGCAAGAAATCAGGCCATACTCAGAGAAATTGTCGAGTACATCTAGCTATAGAAAAAGTAAATGTTGCTCATGAAGTTGAAGAGCCTCAACAACCTAAGTGGGATCGGTGTCTGTTCATTGAAGCTATTTGTCAAATGTTGTGAATACAGCTGCAGAGGCTAATGATCTCATAGATTACAATAGAGATTGGATTATCGACTCTGTTGTTCTCATCATGCAACTGTAAATGATTCTTTGCTCTTGAATGTTCGTCCACACCATCAAAAGAAGGTTATTATAATTGCGGATAATTCGCAACACCCTGTAGTAAAAGAAGGGTGCTTTCAGGTTGAAAAGAAAGTGTCCCTTGAAGACGTCTATCATGTTCTGGGGTTGAAAAAAAAAATCTTGCTTCGGTTTCTTAAATTGCTGATTCTGGGAGATATGTGCTTTTTGGTCCACATGATGTAAAGATTATTTCCGATATAAAACACCTTGAAGCTGATGTTTTATTTACTGGGAAAAGAAAAGATTCACTTTATGTATTGTCTGCAAGTGATGCATACATTGAAAGGACTAGCCAAAATGTCAGTGCTACACTCTGGCATGCTCGGTTAGGTCATGTTGGTTACCAACTATTGCATAAAATTTCTAAAAACAAGCTTCTGGAAGATGTTCTCAATTCAAGGAGATTCACACAGATATGGTTTGTTTGGGTTGCCAATACGGAAAATCACACCGCCTTCCCTTCCAAATTCAAAGAATAAAGTTTCTTCTCCACTACAGTTGGTGCATTCAGATTTAATAGGACCAACAAAAACACCAAGCTATTACGGTTTCCATTATGTTATGGTTCTTGTAGATGACTTTTCCCGATTCACTTGGGTGTTTTTCTTGAAACACAAAAGTCAGACTTTTTTTAAATTTGTGTAGTTTAAGGTGATGGTGGAGAAGGAATTTGGGCTGCCACTAAAATGTCTCCGCACGGATAATGGGGGAGAATACATGTCAGATCAGTTTTTTAAATTCTGCCAAGAGCATGGTATTCAATGTCAAATGACATGTCCAGAAACTCCTGAGCAAAATCGAGTTGCGGAGCGTAAGTTAGTACATCTAACTGCTATTTGCTTGTCATGGTTGCATGCAAAGAATCTTCCCAGAGAGTTATAGGCTGCTGCAATCCAATCAGCATGTCATGTCATTAATCGACTATCTCCTTGGCCAGGCTCCGCATTATCTCCTTATGAGGTATTATATCATCACAAAGCTAATGTGAGTTATTTTCGGGTTTTTGGTTCAATTTGCTATGTCCACATCTCAAAAACTAATCGGACTAATCTTGACCCAAAAGCAAAGCGGTGTATATTTGTTGGATATGCCACTCACAGGAAGAGGTGGAGATGTATGGATCCAGAAACAAAGAAAATCATAGTTTCTCGTGATGTAGTTTTTGACGAAATTTCATCGAGCCAAGATATAGAAGTTGAAGGTACCTATAGATCTTTCATCGTTTGCTGGTGATGACGAATCAAGTAAAATTGGGAGTAATGTAACTCCAGTGGGAGGATCTGTTCAAGAGGAGACTACATGACTTTGGAGGTCTTCGAGAGAAAGAAACCAGCCACATTATTTAACTAATTATGAAGTTCAGCTAAACGATTGTTCAGTAGTATCCTCCTTTATGGTCGGAAATTTATGTGATGATGAGCCAAAATTCTATAATGAAGCTAAGGGTATTCGTGAACGGGAAGAAGCAATGAACAAGGAAGTATCTGCTCTGAATAAAAACTGCACTTGGGAGCTTGTTGAGAAGCCAATGAATATTCAACCTATAACCTGTAAATGGGTTTACAAGGTGAAGAAAAAGGTCGATGGTACTATCAATCGTTACAAGGCTCGTCTAGTTGCTCGTGGTTTTTCTCAAGAATATGGCCAAGATTATGAAGAGACGTTCAGCCCGGTCACTAAAATGACAACAATCAGAACTGTTATTTCATTGGCTACTTGTAAAGAATGGAACTTATGGCAACTCGATGTTAAAAATGCATTTCTTTATGGAGCCTTGGATCGAGATATATACATGGAACAACCACCTGGTTTCATTTCTGAAAAATTTCCTAACTATGTGTGTCGACTCAAGAAGGCATTATACGGCTTAAAGCAAGCTCCACGTGCTTGGTATGGTAAAATTGCTCAATACCTTGAGTTTTGTGGCTTTAAGTCTTCATATGCAGATTCGAGTTTGTTTATTAAGAAAACTTCTTCAGTTTGTATAATGCTTCTTCTTTACGTGGACGACATGATCATTACGGGCAACGATAATGCTGAAATTGCTCATGTTCGAGATGAGTTGTCTCTTTGCTTTGAAATGAAGAGTTCGGGAGAAGCTAGCTATTTTCTTGGTTTAGAAGTTGAAAAGTCAGGTGGGTTTTTTATCTCTCAGCAAGGATACGCAACAACTTTATTGAATCGTTTCAATATGAAGGGGTCAAAGCCAATGACGACTCCTATGGAATCTTGCCTGAAGCTAGCTAAAGATGGAGGAAAACTGCTAGAAGATGCAACTTTTTTTCATCAACTTGTTGGTAGTTTATTCTATTTAACTATCACGAGACCTAACATATGTTTTGGAGTAGGAGTCATTTCTCAGTTCATGGATAAACCACGCGAGACTCATCTGATCGCTGCAAAGAGAATTCTTCGCTACATAAAGAGCACTTTGAATTTTGGGTTGCGTTATAAGAAAGACATATCATTCTCCTTGAGTGGGTTCGTAGATGCAGATTGGGCCGGTGACATAAATGATAGGCGGTCCACAACTGGTTAATGTTTCAACACAGGTTCAGCGGCAATCTCTTGGTGCAGTAAAAAGCAGAGTACTGTTGTTGTCTCTAGTTGTGAAGCTGAATATATGGCAGCCACTATAGCCACTCAAGAATGTATCTGGCTCAAGAGACTTATTCAAGAAGTATCATGTGATGTGAACTATCCAATTCCTATTCATTGCGATAATGAAAGTGCCATTAAGCTTGTTGGTAATCCTGTGTTTCATGCTCGTATGAAACACATAGAAACACACTACCATTTTGTTCGGGTAAAGGTTTTGGCTCAAGATATTCATATGGAGAAAATTCGAAGTGGAGATCAAGTAGCGGATATAAAGCACTTGACAAAGCAAAGTTTGAAATGTTTCGAAGAGCTCTTGGTGTTGTTGACAGCAAGTTTGCACTAAGGGGGAGTGTTGCAAATTAGTCAAACTTGTTGTCACCAAGTCATGTTTGAATAAGTCTGTTGCATTTTTCCATTTATCTAGGAAGTTAGTTCTTTTATCTTTCATTTTATCTAGGGAGTAAGAAGTAGTGGTTTGTTAAGTTAGGAAAATAATCTCAGAAGTAAGAGAGTTAGTTGAGATTTTTTAGGGCCTTCTTCAGTTTTAAATCCTTTTAATGTCTTGCTTTCAGTATTGATTTTTCCAGCAGAAAACACATTGGTTTTTAACCAAAAGTTGTCATTATCTTCTCTTTGCATATAAGCCATTCCCTATATTTTTGTTACACTATTGGGTCTTGGTAAACTCTGATTGCTTAAAAATGTGGAAATTATATCGAGTGGAAGGGGATTGAAAATAAAGCAGCCCTTAAAATAAAATCAAATAATGGAAAATACTACAGTCCCGTTATGGAATCATTCTATTTGGGATTTGTAATCGTTAGATCATTATGTAACCGTCGTGGATAGTTGATATAACGGTTACAAATCCCGACAGAATTAATGGTTCCGTAACGAGAGCGTAGAATCTCCCTCAAATGTAACATCCCGCTATTTCATGAAAATCAGAGTGTGTTTTTTGCAAAGTTTTTCAAAATAAAAACATTTAAGTTGCGAAATACTGATTCGGAGTGCTACCATAAAACATGACTTTATCTGAAAACCGTCCTTTTAGTTTTAAAGAAAAACAAAACGGTTTAACATAACATATTAACCGACTGAAAGTCGGATCAAAAGCTAAGTTCGACAAATAATCGTAATCAGCAAAAAAACGTAGCGTCTCCAAAACATTTTTAAACATATGATCAAAATTCTGAACCGACCGCCAGGTCACTCCTCGACTCTGACCCTGCGACCTGAAAAACATGAATAATGTGGGGCGTGAGCACTAAATCCACTGTGCTTCGCAGAAACTCATACTGAAGTAAACAGTGAAAATAATTGCAATATCATGATCCTGGCATATATAACTGAACTGAATCTGAAACCGGTACTGAATAAGCATGATCTGATACTGATATCGTGATAATTATCACCTGACTGATACATCTGTCAGCATAGAAATGTCGGACACCATGTGCACACTCTAGTGGGCAGATAAGGCCACTAGAACCCAGAATGGACCGGTGACCATTCCGAGCGGATACTGACTGATAATACATACCTTAAACATGGTAGAGTAATTATAATCAATGTAATACTCAGTCTGAGTCCCCACCTTGTCCGTTGAAATGAAAAGGCAGTGCTGATAATTGTAGCCTGATCAAACT